TTATCAGCTGATATATATGCATGAGGATTTCCTCATCATCTCCACTGTCAATTTCCAGTCCCCTCTGATATTTGACTGACAGCTCACACAGACCCCAATAAACCTGCACATCATTTCAGGAAAGCAGGCCCATTGCGGTGAATGGAGGGGAGAAACGGAGGGAAAAAAGTTAATTTGTTTTCCGGCGGCTGTTGACAGCGATATCGCCTGTGTCTGTTTGCCTCCGCGGCAAAGTTGTAAATTAGAACTGTGCCTCAATAGCGAGTACAGGAAGCTGTTTTGGCCGTGTGAAAGCTCATTTTCGGCGACGGCAAAAAAAATACTTGGCAGCTTTTCATATTTAGGGCGTCAGGAGTCTTGCAGGGAGCAAATTGCACACAAATCTAAATCATGAAAAGAAAGCGGAAATGGCCGTCATTTTATTCCCTGGTGAAAGTTGATTTACTGGTAACTGTAAACAGTATTTCAACATTATGGTACATCTTGGGGGCTGAATGGAATACTTAACAATAATAGTGGCACACGGCTTTGAGGCCCATGATGACTTTGAACAACTGGGACTATAAATAACGTGCATAAACATACAAGCAAAGAAACTGACGAGGCAAACGTAGCCAATAAATCTGCACGTTACCTTGCATGTACCCCCACACATTGAGCGCAAGTGCAAAGGAGTGAGCTGACATCAAGTTTAAGTGGGATTTGCATGTTATCGGACTATGCTTAAAGCTTTCTACCCTCTTCCCAGCAGGGAGAAAACTCTCTTCACATTCCTTGGTTGGGTGCCTTTAAAGCAGCTCTGATTAGTAAGCTGTGGTCGTGCGTTTTTGTTTTGTCAAGTGTTGCAAAGAAAGTATATTCTGGCTTTACATACATTATTTAGGTGGAAGAGATGACTAGGGATGTGGTGGGCAAAATATTTGACCTTATGCATATTTTACAAAAGTGAACACTAACATCAATAACTCCCTTTTCAAAGACTTCACTCCACATCAGAGGAGCTAAGAGCCCTTAAATGCCAAATGAAATGTCAGATCAAAGAAATCCACCTGCAGTGTATTAACCAATGGTGGGATTAGGTAATGCACCTCCAATTTACCCCCATCACAGCTTAGAGTCACCGCTAATACGCCCACACAAACATGTCAGAGGGATTTTGGTATGCCTTCCAACACAGATGACAACCAGGGCCCGTTCAAACCGTTGTCTACATCTATCCCCTCTTTGTTCACGGTCTTTCCATTTCCAATGTTGGTGATCTCACCTGTTTATCATAATCTGTTGGGTTTGAATTAGCTTCGAAAAGTACGGAAACGAGTTTGCTCGAGTCCAACAAGCGGCATTAGCCATGTCGTCGCAGCAGAAGAAGAAAAAAGCCACAACAAAAACACAAAGACATCCCTGAAGATGCCTGGAGGGAGGTCTTTGAGACAAGCATTAAGCTTAAGAGTGGAATGTTTGTGAGTTCCTGCAGGAAATGAAAGCTATTACTTTTTCCCCATGTTGCTTGGTTAAATCAACAATTTATTATCAGAGCGAGGTGGAGAACAAATGGAGAAACTAAAATATTGCAAATAGAATGCTAAAAAAGAGATAAAGTTAGTTGAAAAAGGAGATGAAGGACGCCACGTTGAGCAGGCATTTCAGGTTCTACAGAGAGATGGATCATCATGTGGCTGAAACGGGGAGAAAAAGGCTCAGGATAAGGGAGAGAGAAGGAGGAGCGCGCAACAACAGCCGTAATCCATCAGAAATCATCCAGCAGTGGGACCCTCTAAAGTCTGACATCCAGACTTTAGTTCTGCAGAGTTCAGCCCACCAGTGACAACCTCTCAGCCCTGCACATTCTGCTGCTCCGCGATAGGACGGGAGCGGAACGGATGGCGCTAATTGGCTTGCTTCCCTGTCGGATTTCTCCAGCTCTGCAAACAGACAGCGGGGGGGGTAGAGGATATATGATGTTGTATGTGGATTTGTAAACAGCAGATCAGGGACGCCGGCTTTCATGTCGTGTAAACGGGTTCAGGTTGTTGCTGCGCTGTGGCAGTGGGACGCCGGCTGATAAGGACAGCTCTACATTGATCCTCGCTGGGGGAGTGAGTGATGGGACAGTCGGGATGTGTCAGTGCCCAACAGAGCTGGCGTGAGCAACGACACACCCGGCGATGGGTGACACTCACCCAGACGGAGGGAGTCACAAGCGTCTGTAAGCTCAGCCGAGTGGAGAGAAAATACCTCCTGACTGGGAGAGCATGTCGGATGTCACTTCGAAGCAACACTCACTTGATGACACAATCCAAGGATGTTAGTCACAAATCCTGACCTCTTGATAACGTCACCTTAAAAAAAAGAAAACTTGAGTCTAATCCTTTTACAAACACAAGGCACTGGGAGCTCTGGCATAAAGCAGCCCACGTTAGAATTAATGTCACAGAAGAGGAAAATCACTTTTTGGTCTTTTTGGTCTGAAGCAGAAGGAGCAACACTCTTCAATTTGTACTTTCATAAAACTGCTTCGGCCAAGCTTTGACTTAATTCACGGCATGTAATAAAAACATCCCCCCTTTGAAACTCCTGAACAGGTTAAGAAAACACAGCCTGAGTTCCAGTGTCTTTGGATGGTCTGTGAGCATCCCGGCCCCTGAGGCGAAGCTCAAAACAAAGACTTCAGAACTGTCTGCTGCCTGCAGACAGGACACGCAGCCAGGAGCTCCCGGGGAAGGTCTGAGGGGCGCCGCCATGTGCCTCGGCTTATTTAGCAATCAGGGAGACGAGCTGGGAATGGGGCTTTGGGAGCTTACTGATGAAAAGAACAGCCACATGTGAGACTTTCTCACTGCAGAGCAGCCTCAACATGTTCACAGCTCACCTACTAATGTACTGACTAAGCTAATTTAACAACAAAGTTTAAGTATTGCCATGTTTACAATGGAAATATGAGCAAAATCTATTTGAGCTTAACACTTTTGGTCAGTAGGGAAAATGTCATTAAAAGGCTTTGGAGCAGAAAAAACTGGACTGCAGATCTTTAGGTAAGATCTGTGATTTAGTGCATCTCTCTTTTTGGATTCATTTACCTGTAACTAAGAAGTGGTGTGAAACAACACATCTGGCCTTTTTCAAACCCAATCTTTTCAGAGATTTGAAGAGAATGTATGGAAAGAAAAAAAAAAAATCTGCAACAAATACGCGATTTCCAGAGGTCAATATGCACCCAGCTGTTCGAACTCAACTCGCTGTTCAAACAGCGGAGCAGCAAAACTAAATATTTGCAGCCACTGAAATGACAGAGCTGACATCCAACATTTGCCGTTATGGCACACTTTCACTGCTGTGTGAAATTGAGGTCATATGTTTATAATTCGCCCTTCTCCTAATGCTGCCATTGGGGTAAAATAACATTTGAGAGCGGCCATCAGATTGAGCAGAGCGATGCGCCGGCTAATTAAGTCATATTTCAAGTTCAATAACTATTAGGTTGGCCAGATAAAGGCCAGGGAGAGAGGGGAGTGTGGTGCAACAATCTGGAAGCTTTTACGGCACTCAGTCCGTTGTTAGTTGGAGACGGAGTCAGTGTGAGAGCCTGGCGGGACAATAGAGCTGGATCTGAGTCTCTGGCTACTGCTGGAAACTGGATTTCTGTGTTTAACATCAGAAAAGGCTGCAGTATTTGCATTTATGGAAGTAATAATTCTTTGTGTTGAGTCTATTGACATCTGCTCATCTCTTCATATTCTTTGTCCATGCAGCCAAACTTCCTTCTAATCTTTTAAAGTGGTCTTCAGCATTAGTTTTTTTTTCTTTTCTTTCTTGTTTGTTTGCAATCATTCAAATATGAGAAAAGACACATAAATAAGAGGCTGTTTGTGTTTGGAAAATAACAAAACTGAAACTATTGTTCAGCAGAAACCGAACAATAGCAGGACAATCTCCATCATGCAGACGAGAGGGAAGCAGAGAATAAGTGTGCCATCTGATTCAAGGCCCAGATCACAATCATGTCTCCCATTTTTTTCTTTCGAAGTACAACAGCAAAAAACATTACAAGGACAAGCAGACTCAGACAGAAGTAGATGGATAGCAGTAGGAGGAACCTACACATGAATCAAGAGAAATTAGGGGCGAAAAAGGAGCAGAGACAATGAGATTTCCCCCCAAACTTAAAGAACACACAATTTGGAACAATGCTGGCAGTGTCACCTTCCACATATTGACTTGTTTGCACAGCGGAAAACCCGCAGAAACGGGATGTTTGGAATAAATTGAACTACTTTCGACACCAGAAGCCAAAGTATTAAGCAATTCCAGATCTTTGCCAAGTGGATTTTCAGCTCATCCGACATCCAGTTTCCCTGGAAGTGTGTCCTTCATGCTGCCCTTCCCGTCCCAGCGCTGCTCTGCCCGCTGCCTTCCCCGCCTCAGCGTGTGAACATCTCTTCCATTACTGCCCTTGACACTGTGGCCGATTGGATTCTTATCAGCCATCTGTAGTCCAACGCTCAGCCCGCGCTATCTCTCGTCACAGCCTAATTGAATCTCAAGTGTTGGAAGTGTGGTGATACACTGACCACATCGTGTCACTGCCAATAGATAAGGATAGCTGCGGCAGGATTGGACCACCACAAATCAGGAGGGGGACATGTTGATAAAAGGGGTGACAAGCGGTTGGAACCCTTTTTGTGGGACTTTGCTTAGATTGAAAAATAATGGATACTCTCCATTACTGAGGTGGTTGTGTTCATATGTAATCATCCAATGGGCCTTAATCCTCCTGATCTCAGTGGGGTAATTTATTGGACCTTAACCAGAGGAAAGTAGGACAGGGAGCTTTTCGTTTCTATCGATATCTCCATTTGCAGGAGGGATGTATCTGATTTTTAGTTCCAGTTCAAACCAGCCTAGCCACTTTCATATTAAGTTAGGTTTCAGGAACATGTTTAGCTTTGTTCCAGCAGCACTGCAGCTAAAAACTCAGTTCATCATTTGTAAGGATCTCCTACCTTAAGAGGCCAAATCCTCTCTTTTTGTTCTTCTTCTCCAGATCCTCAGCGGAGTCCTCTGGTTTCTTCTTTCCTTTGCTCTTTTTCTCCTTCTTCTTTGCTTTGGTTTTCTTCTTCTTCTTCTTTCCATCGTCTTCATCCAGCTCCTGGCGAGAGGAAGTGCTGGCGGGCGTTTCGTGGCCGGAGCTGTGGTCCGACATGTCGTCGTCTGGGGGGGAAAGGGGTCACATGGGCAGATAAGGAGGTGTGAAGGGACAGGCCGGCAGTGGATGCACAGACTCTGAGCCGGCACAAATGATCAGTCCGACTGAACACGCTTGATTCACAGCATTCAAATGTTGGGGACAGTTGTTAAATTCTATAATTCTATGCTGAATTCAAATAGTCAAATGGGTATTCTGCAAAAATATAAATGCCTTTTTTTATTTTTCAGGTTGAAACCACACACCCATCCCACATATATGCTCTACAAGGTAGAGCATTAAAAATATGCTGCTGTAAGATATAAAGTTGTTCTTTCTAAATTGCTGAGTGGATAAAATCATGTAGCATTTCATTAAGGTACTTAGACTAAGCACTGTCTCTTGGCAGGCCTCTGGCTCTTTTTGAGTGCCAGTGTTGTTATAAAGCCTCGGGGATGTGCATCTAATTTAAAATGGATACTGTGTCTAGAAAAGTATCTTATATCCCAGCACCGCCAGCAACCTTAAAAAGGAGCATTCTCTGGTTGGGTGCAGCAGCTCACAGCTTCCTCCAGCCCTGAGTCTTAATATTTGTGTCATTAACATCCAGCTGAGTCTCACCATCTTCAGAGGGCCCATCGTAGGACTTGTCGATGGCGTTGCGGAAACTCTGGTTGCATCCTCGCCCCCGGACCATGTGCGGGCGTGGGCGATGAAAAGGCACCCGCGCTTGGATGTGACTCTGCTTGGCCTCTGAGACGGCCGTCTGGAGGCTCTCCAAGGAGCTGGACTTGCAGAGGCCCAGGGTTGGGCCCAGCTCTCCTCCAGCTGAGGGGTCTGTGAGATATAAAAAACAGCAGGGAATGATCTGTGAGGGAGGCATCTAATTTTCCTTTGTGTCCTTTTAAGAAATAAGCGATTTCTCCAAATGATTCTACCAAAAATGGTGATATGTCTGTTAGCTGATGGATGAGGGAGGGAGCTATTCCCAATATTAGATATGCAGCCAGCACTAAATCGAGAAGGAGTAATTTTATTAAGATCATGGGCTTTTAGCAAAATTTATCCCACTGCTTACACAACATTAAACTCATACATATCTCCAAGAGTTGTTTTCACTCATTCAATTAATTCAATTAAGAAGCATCTGTGACTAATAACCCCCCCCCTCCAAATTAATTGAGAATAAGTTGGTTTATAAAAGAACTGAAGAAGTTCTGAGTTTTTGGTTTTGAAATGTTAAACTGAAAAATGCAAAACTCTGAAAATGTACTGTGAAGAGAGACGGGAAGCACAGGAGAGAGCGTGAAAAATAGGTTTGACAGTAACAGGGACAAAGTCTGAGTCCTTTATGAGACACATAAAGGAGATGAATGAGTTGGAGTGGTACGTGAACAGGTGAGGAGTAGAGGTCTGGAAGCTGATGGATCATACATAAGCAAGAGAGTGGGAGACTAAATGAACTGCCACTGAACTGTACTCGGGTTTGGCCTCCAACAGGAGAGAGGAAGAAAGGAAGATGGAGGGACAGGAATGCAGCGAAGGCCATAGCTGATTCAGCAAGGGATAGGAGAACAAGGGAGGAGGCACCAGGAAAAGACAGGATGGAGGAAACGTTAAAAAAAAAAAACACAGTAAATGCCATGAAGAAAAATCTGCAGTTGAAAAGGCTTCAGACAAACTGGCTCCACAACGAAGGACAGGAGGGCATTCGGACTTCAACTCCTAAAGGCAAGCAACTCATCTTAGCGGTAGTTCAGACATTATATATCTCTCTGACGTTTTTCAACACTTTTCTATATGAATGACTTTCTCACATCACACATCACGAAAGACCAACTTTTTTTTTTTTTAGGATTCAAATGCTTGAAGTGGAGCGAATAAAAGGGAAAGTGAAACCAAAGCGACGATAGAGTCAAAGAGGAGGAAAAGTAAGCAGAGCTTTGCTGCCTTTTAAGTCCCAAATTGACTTTCTGAGAGGAAGTGGGATTTATGGGGAATAAGGGGTTATAAATAGAGGGGGGGAGCGCTCAGGAATAAAACGCTCAATTTGAGAGACAGGATTTGTGTCACAAATGTAATTATGGCTGTCCAGCTCACAGCCTGATAGAATTAAGCTCCTTGCCAGTGCACTGCAGCACTATACAGAGAAACTGTGTGCCAGAGCACGTGGGCACACACGCATTCACGACAAAATGAGAGAATTCTGCTCCAAGTAAGAGAAATTTAACATGATACGGCCCGTGTGAGACGGCGCTACGTGTCCTTGACCTCCTTAGATTAAAAGGCAGAAGAAATATGGGCACAATTCACTTTTGCTGGAGCGTGTTTGTGCGCTGCGAGTGCACTCATTCCATGCATGTCAGACGGTTGAGGCTGGAGGTAAATGAATAATGAGGGTTTAATAGGATGGATGAGAGGGGGAGAGGTGGCTATCATCGCCAGCTCGATCCAATGGAGGGTGAAATCAGCGTTTATCACATATCTGTGCCCGCTGTGCCAGCAGATGCTCTCGCAGATCCGTTCACATCATGTCTGCCTGACTGCCACTGATTCAAGCTGGTGCACATATTTGACAAACAACCTAACAGCCGAAAAGGCCAAGATGATGGGCAATGCCCTTCACAGCTGTACAACGCTCTAAATCCCAGATCCAGCTAGAACATCACGATTTCATTTTGTTCCGGTGCTTTGATCTCGTGATCTACTATCAGCAAGTTGAAGGCTTCACGCGTTTATCGCAACATTTTCAGGGTTAAAAAAAACCATAATGGAGGAGGAAGAAAGTAAGTAGTTCACTTCAATTTTGAGTGTCATATTATAGTTCTGGAACTTATTTCAATTTTCAATTTATCAGTTTGTTCTTAAGCCTTTATTTTTGTCTTATGTAATCATATCAAATATGGAAAAAACAATAGTTACAGTCTTTGACAAAAAAGTGCTAAATGAATCATTAAAAATGTATTAAATCTAGAAAGACAGAAAGTCTAGTGCAGGTCTTTGTTGGCTCGGCTTCCTTCACTTTTCGTGGGGACCCAGAATAATTTCCAGAGAGGGTGCTCCCAGAATGAACAAAGCCCACTTTCCTTCAGAAACGCACGTTTACCAACTGCAGCAACTCGGGCGGAAGCTGTGAAAATAATAGCAATTTTACCAGTTTGTGAAACAGCTGGAAACTCCCTCTCATTCCTGCTGTGCGGGGCTGACATCTGTATTATCAGAATGTGTGGTCCAACACTTTCTGCGAGCCAAAAAGTAGAGCCATCTCCTCGTGTTCTACCTTTCATGCATGTCCTCTGTGAGGCAGAGATAGCTAATGGATTTTACTCCAGTGTTGTGTATTTAGAGCTCAGAGCACCGAAGATAAACACCGTCTTGCTGTGGGAAGGGATTTAATCAGCTTCTTTTTTACTGGGTGTGCTCCAGCAAAAAACAAAAAAAACAACATAAAAAGTCTTTAAATGACGTACTTTAGGTGTAAAAACAGCAAATGATACTCCTGCAAAAAGGTTTAAACAGTCATTTAAGTGGTTATGATGTTTACAACATAACACGACTTTTTCAGCTCAGGATTAGTGTGGGACTTCTGAGAAATACAGGGAGAGAGCTCCTGTGTGGGAAAAACCTCTCTAAAAGCAAAGAACCTGCTAATTATCGCTATAAAATGGTACGTATAGAAGTAACATGGCATCAACCTTTACTGAGGTTTCCTGTGTTCGTCACTCTTGTGTGCTCAAAAGAGAAACTCAGATATTTTACACAACCATTCCCTATATGGGGCCACATTAATGTTTGACTGCAGAATAAAAAACTTTCAAAATCGTTTTTTGGGAAGGTTTATTCTTTTGTAATGTTATTATCTATCCTTTTATAGATTTGGCCTGCAGACCACGGATGGATGTTTATTGGATTTGCAACAAAGGAAATAACTCAGCTGAAAAAAGTGAATATATTCTTCACATTTTCTGCATATGAACATATAACAATGCACAGCCCCGACGCCCAGTCAAGAATTAAAATATCGACTCATATCGACGCAAACACACTTGACTGCATACGTTGGCCTATTCATACTCAAGCTGACATTTTTGTTGGAGTACAGTTGAAACAAAGGAGAAAAAAAAAAAGACCTCCGCACACTGACAAATATCCCCGGAACAATTCTTAACTCCCTCCCCACCGAGTCCCAGCAGGACCTTAACACTCAGCCATCAACAGGTCTACCATGTGCTCGACAGCAAACAGCTTTGTAGCAGACTGGCAAAAAGGTTGCCACGGTTACAAGGAGGTGCCCCCTCCATTAAAGCTGTTGGGGGTGGCAGTGGTGACGAGGTCTGAGAGTGTGTTAGAGATGGTTGACACTGAGTTACCAAGGAGACACTTAAGCCTACAGTGACTGGGGGCTTGCTGCTCCTGGCTTTAGTTCTTTAAATTAGATACTGAGTGTGTACACGTGCACACACACACACGCAGACTCACACATCTCTACAAAGCTGAGAGAAGGACACGTGTAAGAGCTACACACACTTTTCAATCTTATAACTAATCTCAGGATCAGCCAATAAAACCCGATGCGGTTGTTGTGGAAACCAGTAAAACAGGCCCTGACCTGCAAACACACAAATACACAAAAATTCTGCACACCTGTAAAAATAAGCTTGATCTCAGCATCACCCCACTCAACAAAAGGCTATCGACTTTAAGCTAAAAGAAGCATTAAATGCAGTGTTATAAAGGAAAACGGGTTTATTCTGGTGTTACGCCTAAGTGTTCGCCTAATAATTACAGTACAAAAGGATTTGAACAATCTCGGCTCCATAAATGTGTAGTCAGAAGAATTCTAAACTGGCCATAAAACAAAGAACAGAGCAGATTTTTATTGCTTCTATAGGTTAAATGCTTCCATGCCTTTACTGGAGCATCTGTGATTACATGTGTAATCAGGCATGATGCTTACATCACATACAAAACCAAAACACTGTTTGTTTTTTTTTCATTTAGAAAACAGCCAAACACACCATGTGTTCGGTATTCTCCTCCAAGAGAAGGCTTTAGTCACAGGCCGAAAATATGTCGGGACCTTTTTCAAAAGCTGATTGTCGACACAAGACCCGGTTCTTTTTTTTCCTGGCCCTGAGTGACGGGAAGAGAAACAGAAGACACCACCTGCCATTTCCTCTAAATGTTGCATCGGAGCAGCTTGTGTCTAATCATCTGACAAACCTGACTTCAAATTACATTACTTTATACAGCTGTACAGCTACTAAAAGCAAATCTAATTCACGTTATGGCCAATCAAAATTCTATTCCACTTAAGGACCAGTTCAGTCATTAAGCACCCCCCTCGTCACTGTCTGGATGCACTCAGCTATATCAGAAGAGGAGGAAGAGGCTGAATTGAGGCGTTGCTTTGGCAGTAATTGTGTTTAGCTGTTTGGATGTATGACGGAAAGGAGACATATGGGCTGCATGTATTCAGCCTCCACCTAGATGAATCGTTTTAATAACTGGAGGGGACTTAAAAGCCCATTTCATAATTACTGCCTACTTTTGCTGGATTCCAGCTCTGCAGGGGGGGGTGGCAGAGTACAGATGTGTGTGGACTGCTGCAGTTCAGCAATTCAGCCACTGTTTCACATGTTGCACATTTCCCACGAGGTCTAAAGACGTCATCATTTTTAATGCAGCATCTCTGAAGAGAGGAAATTATTCCAGCACATTCTTCACTCATTTGAAACTTCTGCTCTTTGCCTTTCTAACCAACAGACAAATCTTGTCTTATAGCTCAGCAAACTATAAATGCAGACAACATGGCGGGGTCAGGGCGTTGATGGCGTTGCTACTGGCTCAGATGTTCGCTCCGGCACCCAACATCTGGACAACCACTGGGACAGCAACGCTCAGTCTTTAAATTATCATTAGAAAATGCACAAGAAATATTCATATACAAAGCAACAACAAGTATCCCTGAGGCTGGTGTGTGCGTAGTGTGTGTAAGGTTGTGTGTTTGTGCTGGATGAGCTCCCAGGTGTGTCGTGAGAGTGCAGCCAGGGGAGATGTTAAAACTCAGAGCGGGAAAAAACTGGAAGGATGAACGAAGGGATATCTGTTCATTACTCCTCTGGCTGTCTGCAGGGTGTTCACATGCACGACCGAGCGAGCACGCAGACACACACACACACACACACACAGCCTCGCAAAACACAGTGAAATGTTGGGGCTGGGGCTGACTCGGCAGAGAAAACTCCAAGACTGGAGCATGTTCACCCTAATCACATAAAGCTGGAACAGATACAGCTGCAGCTGAGCGGGGGGAAGCAAAAGAGTTACTAAAAAGGATCAGCCTGTTGAGAGAAAGAGAACCAGAGCCAGAATAAAGAGGGAATTGGATGTAGGACAGAGAGAAGGATAGGAGAGGAGAAAGAGAGATGCCTTTTTGGGATTGAGAGAATGCAAAAAAAATGAGGATGGGCTTGGCCTCAAAGGGAAGAGGCAAAAAAATAAGGCAGAGAGGCGCCAGAGATGTGAGAAATGACAAATGATGGCCGAGATAAAAGCAAAAGAAAAAACAAAACCCCAAGCCCAAGTTAAGATGTCGCAAGACAGGACCTTCAAAAACAGGGTCTAAAAAGATGGGTCCAGCTTGCAGAAATGACAGAGAGAAAGGTGGAGCGAGAAGAAAGTCGGGGAGAGAGGAGCGAAGCAAAGCCTCGGAGCAGCTTCAGCCAGAGAGGAAAAGGGTTTTAGCCAGATTAAAGAAGCCAGGCAGGCCTCTTAAGACCATCCGTCTAATGAAATATGTCAAAGCCCATAAAGAAACATTGAGGCCATTTAAGAAGGCGGGTAGCGGTGGCTGTGTGGGGTGGGGTATGGCGCAGGAGGCTGGGCAAATACACTGCATCAGCAAAAATGAAAAACACGCAAAAGCCCTGTCAATACGCATTAGCCAAGACGTCAACAGGACAGGAGATGAAAAAAGGGAAAAGGAAGAAGAAAGAAGTGCTGCAGTGAAGAAATGGATGGCTCCATTTATCATGGCCCTTTAGGGTTACACGTGTTCAGGAACACTGGAATAATCATTGGGAGACCGGACGGGGGTGGGGGGGGGGGGGTGCCAGGGACAGGAAGTGGAGGGTGGGGCCGAAGCCACTTGTGGGAATGCTGAGTATGGGGGATTTGAGGTCAGCCCTGATGTTTAGACCATTTGTATTCCGCTGGCGACAGGCTCAGGTTACTGCTGCAGGTGGACTTAAGACATCCTGTAGCCGTGTCTTTGTGGAGCAGATAGAAAACAGAGGCAGAATCACAATGCTGGTGGTAGGTGTCCTAAAGGGAAAACGCTGCTATCCCCCAGCCGTACCCGCCTCCCCCGACTCAGTTGATTTGTTGAAATGATATAAAAAGATGAAATGTGGCGGATTGGTGCGTCAAAGAAATTAAAAGGGAAATTTAGCAAATGTTTTATATAAAATTGAAAAACTCACCTTCTTTCTGTCCAGCCAGGGATCCCACATTGCTCTCATCAGCAACTAGGACACAGAAAGGAGCCAAAATCACACAATAAATAGCCGATATCATAAAAACGCGAAACACAGTGCATTACACAGGTCATTCCAGAGCTTTGTGCGACTTCATAAATGGCTTTACTTGCACATAATGGTGCTGGCGTATGCTGGAAATGAATCCCCTGCATAACCCGGCGCAGGACCAGCCACGCCACAGACAGAGGAAATGAAAAAGAAGCAAAGTATAAGAAAAGCAGAAGAAAGGTTGGGATTGTGCAGGAAAATGAGAAAAGATAAAGATGAGACAATGAGACAAATAACAAAAGGACACGGAAGAAAACAGGCAGAACCTCCCGCCACCTAATCTAACTATGGCGGCGGCCGCCACCACAGGCGCTGCTCCATGGGATACAATAATGGGTTTTCATTAGGCTGCCGTTTCTCTTAAATAATCCTTTTCATTTTTTATGAGGTCAATTTTCCCAGCGGACAGATGAGAGTAAGGCAGAGGGAAAATGATGATAGGGGAGAATATTAGAAAGGAGGAAAAGGGGAGTAAACTAAACCGTGGGGAGATGTGGCGTGACTGCCTGTGTCGGGGAAACAAAAGAGGGAGAAAAAAATGGTGACATCAAAATAAAAAATTACAAATCATAAAATACAAAATGAGTATTTCAAAGTTTAGGGGGGACAATTATGATGGCAAAGTAAAAGTTTGCATTCTCCTCCCGTTGAAAAAGACTAAGTGTAATTTTTTTTTATTAACCTTGTGATGCAGAAAACATTTACTCTGTGACAAGATTCCTGGATAACAACTGCATAATGTCAGTGTCGCGCTTCAGTTTCAGTTCTAGTATCACTGCTCTTAAATATATTTGAAAGAACAATGTGAAAAAAAGAAGAGAAACAACATGAAGAGCAAAGTATGAAATGAAATTCAGGAAACATAAAACCCTGAAAAGGGAATGGCAGGTGGGACACAGATAATAAAGGAACACAGGAACAAAGGACCCTCAGGATTGAGGCAGGGCATCAAAGTGGTCATTGGGGGGGCTTTTTGGCCACGTCCTTCTCGTCCCAAGTTGCTCTTTTATGCATACAGGCTTTGCTTATTGCATCAGCATTAAACAGGCCACTTTGATTAAAGAGGGACCTCTGCCCCCGACCAGAGTGGAAAATTAAACGATCATGTATAGATTTCTTATCTGCTCTGCAACTTTTGGAGATTTTGGGAGAGAGACAAAGTAGAAGCGGACTGGACAAAAACCAAAGGTTATTTTGAAAATTTAATGAGTCACTGGGCACAAAATCACTTAGAATGCAAAGAGTTGTTTACAGGCTCCAAAGTCCTAAAAGGTCTGATGTTTCCATGCACTTTAAGCATCTAAAAGTGGATCCATACAGACCATTTTCCAAAGCACACCATAGCTTTCTGGACTGATAAATCCATTAGTGAGAAAAACTAATGGTTTGCATTAGATGATCTTTAATCGTTTTAGGTTTGAGTGTTTTTCTTATATGTTACCTTTTAGAATTGAGAGCAAAAATCTCCTCTTGTAGCACTTGTGGACATTTATGAAACAGTAGCTGATTGACTGGATAAAATCCAAACCCCTACAATGAGTCTGAGAAAATTGGGACTGGTACTGAGACTCAGTGCCTCCCTGCTCTCATCTTGTCAAGGGCAGATGGAGGGTTTCTGTGAGAGAGGGAAAGCCCTGAGTCAACAGACTGTTTGCTGAGGCATCCGGGGTCAATGAAAGCTGCTCACCTCCGTCAAGTGGTGTTTAATCACAGCTAACCAGCTCTGCACCGCAAACACAGCTCAGATACATGCGAGCGTTCAGAGGGGCACGCAGCAACCTCTCTCCGGAGGAGAAAAACGCATTCGTCTCTTTAAATAAAACCCGTCCGGAGAGGGTCAGCGTCCAAGGTCTTGTATGTGTTCGGAGCTCTTGCCATCCTTACACATTCACAGATACACACACACAAAGATCAGAAAAAACATCCTTTTTTCAGCTCTGAGTACTTTGGAGAGGGAAGAGATGAATAGAACCAGAGTGATAACACAAAAGAAGATAAAAAAGGAGATTGAAATGGAGGAAGGGCAGAGATGGAGATGGAAGCCATTGAGGGGCGACAGATAGTGGTGGGTATTGGAGTGGGTCCTCAGTGGGATAGGGCTGGGGGTGCGTGTGTGTGTGTGAGCAGCTGCGTGTGCAGACCACCCTTGTCCATAATGAAAGCCAATCAGCTTGGGTGGCAGAGGCGTGTGCTGCAGGAAGAAAGCCAATCCACTGAACCTAATGAACCGGGATTGGAAATCAGAGAGAGGCAGAGAAAAAAAGAGGTAGATAGAAGGGAGCGACACCAATGAAGTCATCTGCTGGGAAACAAAGTGTTGAGAGGAGAGAAGAGATAAACAAAGATGAAGGAAACGCTGAAGAACCGAAATAAAAGCAGGGATGGGAGATGAAGAAAAAGCAGAGCAGTGATATTATCAAAGGAAAAAATGCAGATAACAAGAAATCTAACAAACAGAACCCAAGAAAAAAGGGAGATGCAAAGAGGGACGAAAAGATCTGAGAGATGGAGAGAAAAAAGGAAAGGAAGGTCAGCTCGGGTTAATATGGGGAAATCGGCCCGTTTGTTTTCACCTTACACACACACAGACACACACACTCAGACACACACACCGCCGTGAGATTGCAAACCTCGTGTGCTTCATTCACTCCCAAAAACAGAAGACACACACACGCCAGACAGTGCTGGCCCAGATCGCTGGAAAACCCCAGGGCTTATGAGTTCAGGAGGTCAAACCCCTCTTTAGGCAGGAGATAATAGGAGACGGCTACAAATCACAACAAAGAAATGCACTGATAAGCAGCATGTGATCAAGCTGAGGCTGCGTGTCTGTTTTAGGCCGGGCCCATGACAATGGTGGCACTTCAGGCTGCTTTTTGACAGCTGGCACAACAATAAAACGAGGATTTTCCTGCAGAAGAGCATAAATATATGCTGTAAGAAGTGTGTGTGTGTGTGATTATGAGCTCACCCAGGTCCATGCTCTTGGACGCTCTGCTGCGAGGCATGTTGTCCTTATCACTGACATGACGGCCATTTGTGTGCAAATTAGCAGGCATATGTGGCAGCTCACTGCAAAACAAACAGTCACAACAGTCACTTAGTTATGGCTGCTGTGCAGCTCGCACCAGAAAAAAGTTATTTACAGACTCTTTGTTTGTTGGATTGCGCACACAAGGAAGAGTAAACAGAATTTGCAAGTCAGAATCTCACACAGAGAACAGATCATTTAATTTCCGTCGATCCAGATGGTATGATTTGGTAAAACAATAGCATGTACTGTCTCCATTCAGCTTACAGAAAAACAAGGATAATGATGCCAGATTCTGACATCAGAGCAATATCATATACACACACTGACACACACACACACACATAAGCTGAAGATTTGTAATTCAGCTAACTGTTAAAATGGTGGCTTCAATCAAAGAAAAAGCAAGAACTTAAAATAATTTCCAAACAATAAGTTATGTCAGATGTTATCATTGGACAATGGAACAAAAACAAATGATTTTAGGAGTGTGTGCATGCACTACCTTTTGTCGCCTGTGCAGAATAAACCCTGCTGCAAATTTGTACCTCAATTTAGGATTAAAAGCATTTCTCTTGTGACGATGTCAGCTGAATATTGAGGCTTTTTTCAAAGCCCTAAAACTCCAACAGCTTTGCTTAATTATGACAAAACAATTACTTAAGCACTGCAATTAACCCAGATAGTCTGAATAATGCCTATGCATCCTGTAACATTTAGTGAAATAACTATTTTTTTTATCTCGGAGCACAGAGCGACATATTAAGGCTCTCATTACAACATAATGAATCCGGCCTTGTGCGTACTTTAATGCAGATGATGCAGAGGTCTGTACATTATGTCTGTGCTTTGCAGGGGGGAGGGTACCTGTGGAATGGGGGAGTAAGAGCTAATTCTCTGTTCATTTCCTCCACAGCACCGGGGGAAGGTGGTGGGGGGAAGCCTGGTTCCTCATCACCGTTGCTGTAGTAATCGTCCATAGCAGGAGCTGAGGAGGAGAGACAAAGTTTTTAAAAAGTCAATCATTTTGGGACAAAAAATGATTTTTCCTATCGAGTTAAAATCAAAACTGCTGACTTGGAAAAAAAAAATGGACAAAGTAGAAAAAAAGTCTAAAAACTATTTGGTTTTTATATTCATTGTACTGTGTGTTTAATCAAAAGCAAAGCTGCCTGTTTAAAATCTAACAGCAGTTAACTGAAGCTCATAAAAACTAGCATTAATCAACAACATATGCACACATCAGACGCACAAGCACACATTTACTGAAGATCAATACTGTCAATAAGGATCTTAGCCAAGCACATCAAAGGGAAATGCATCCTTCCCATGCAAAATGAACACTGAGCAAAGCTAAAACACAAAAAAATCGGCTCAAATGCTTCAGCTGGCATCCTTCCAACCCTTCCTTCTCTTTAAAATGCACCCCTCACACCTTCAGTGTGGCGGACAGCTGACAGCCCCCAGTGAGTAAAGTGTTACCAGCACCCTGCATCCCAGGGGGTGAGGGAGGGGGGGACATAAGAGGAAGATTAAAAGTGAATTCAAAACAGTTTGTTGGTCTTTCTTGTTTTATTTTGTGTGTGTGTGTGTGTGTGTATGTTTTCATTTAACACAACGGCACACATGCTGCACAACACCCTGAATGCAAATTTGGCCCACTTTAGAGCCGTTTCATCAGGGTAATGATTCCAAGGTCAGATCTTTTGCACATGAAAAGCCAGCATCAGAAAAACACAGTTAATAACTTCCCTTCCTCCTGCTATGAATATGCAGGGGCGTCTGAAAAAGACACACAAACAGAGCCAGGACAATTTGGCTATTTTGTAGAGCTGTCCTATCGGCTCCGGTGAGCTGAAAAAGTGTTATGTACGCACACATATGTCCACGCACACACACACATACACACACCCCGTGTGTACACATCCAGCCGCTGATAACAGGAGTACACAAACACTCCAAGCCCAATGTTGACTGACAGTTCAAATGGACAAACAAGGCCGTGTTGACGTGTGTGTGTGCAGCTGGGTGCTCACCGCCTCTGGATCCAGAACTGTGGGTCGGTACTGGAGTGTGACTTGGACCATTCACGGTGGACTCAAGGTTAGGAGTTCCACTGCGTCCAGGATGTCTCTGGTAGGCCTCGTGGCCCCATGGCTGCCATCAAAGAGAGAGGACGGGGTTCATATGCGAGAAAATGTGCCAACCCACTCATAATTGTGTCATATGAAAAATTGATGAATGCAGCCTCACACAGCAGGAGATTAAAGTTATTTCTTTTATTACCCAAAAGGATAGGATGAGAGTCTTTGCTGCTCTAAAACTGAGGCTGTTTGTGGGTTGCTGAGGCACCAAATGTCAGCGTGATCCGAAAAGTACACAGTACAACACTCTAAAAACCCAGATTTCTGTTTCTGCCTGAATTGTTGTTTAGTATTTTTAGTCTGTTTCATACCATGAAGTCATGTCAATTTGTAAATGTTCATCTCGATCATGGACAAAAATAGGTCTGTTTATTTGTTCATTTTGTCATGGAAAAGTACATCTAGAAAATGTATATCTGTGATTAAACATAAAGGAAAACCCAGAGGGGGAGCCTGAAAAAGTATTTCACAGGAAATGTGTCATAAAGAGTGAAGGTAGTTTGTTTCCTTTTTCCCCCCAAAATTAATATAAAGTCAGTCTGGACAAAAATACAATGTGGGGTTAAAAATACATATTTTTAAGGAGTGGTGTCTGAGACATAGTCACGAGCACAACCAGGATCCCAGTGTTCCATTTCCAGTGGATGTGTAAGACAAGCTGCAGCCTCACAGACGTTGTATTGTGTTGTTTGCCGTTTGTGACACTAGATTAAAACACTTCCACGTGTAATCAACATGCACAGAAGCAAATCTGGCTACTTGTGTTCTTTTTACCCGTCCCCAGTGACTCCAATGTGCCATGCCAACGTATCGACAAACATTTGGCACTGGGATGTTTTTGTGTTTGACATTTGTTGCCACGCTGGAAAATAAATCTAGGGCAGGTCTTTGCCTACCACATAGCAATGACAATATAAACAAAAGAGCCAGTACAAATATATATATTTCGTATTTAGACATACTTTTAGCAGTTGTCTTATCGCTTGATTTTAATCAAATGCAAGTGCAAAATTATCATCCATAAATTTACAGTATGCTAAAAGTGATTCTAGTGATTCTGAGAATTCCTGAGAGCACCGACGGGCGGATTATCAAACAGCCATGCAACACTACAAAGGACCCCCCCTCCCCACAAATAGAGATGGGGACTAGCAGCACTAATGGAAATCGGTACTAGCAGAAGATGAAAGAAGCTTTCTTTGGTCAAAGAGATGGGAGCTGTAGCTTTCTCCCACACACACACACGTGTTTGTTCACATTTATATAAATGGCGCAACCAAACCTGAGGCCTAAGACACAGCACACTTTCATAAAAGGTGTTCCAGTAGTTTCTTCATATCAAAGCAGCGGGTGGGGGTGTATGCAGTGTCACTCAGTCCCTGGGGTATCATTAGTAGCTACCATACGTCTTAATATACCACCATATCACTCTGCTGTCAATCACTGGGAGCTCATATGTGTAGAACGAATTTACCCGCTGTGTTCTCACAGTTCTTCTGCATCTGTCAGGGACACATAGATCCTATTGTAGCCCCCCACCCCTCCATCTATTCCTCCATCTTTCCATCCATCCATCCCTGAGCCGCAGGCTTTTGAAGCAGCATCACAGACAGGCAGTCAGATATCTTAATCCCACAACAATAAGTAAATGTGGAGCAGGAGGGGGGAGTCCATCCACGCAGCCATTCTTAACCTACAGCTGCATACAAAAGGCTTCCGGGAGACTTCCTGCCACCCACCCAACCTATTTCTGCCTGTTGACTTTAATTGTCTAAAATTTCAACTCTTGTGTGGGTAAGTCTCCAGCAGATGTTTGGCTCACCTATTTCCTTAGACCAATGAAGACTTTAATGTAATTTCTATTGAAAAAATCAATAACCAATAGGTCTACTGAAAAATGTGGATATATTTTATGAGAGATCGAAGCTGAGAATATTAAAGTAACCAAATTGACTAATATTGCAATCTCCTACTGCATCTGGATAGAGGGTTAGCTATTAAATCAGAGCACAAACAAGTTTATTAGTTTAGGATCTAATGGAGAAATGTGTACAATATATGGATGAGTCTAATAAAAATTGGATTGAGGGCTAGAATTTAAAGCTTCTATCAAACGGGAGTGAATAGAGTACATCTATCCACAGACAAGACGAGACAATGCAGATATTTGCTGAACTTTTAACAGTGCTTCAGAGCATTTATCCACAGACTTGAATGAGGAACAAAGAGACAAACGTTTGCACAGAGGGAGTGAGGAATAAAGGAGATGTAAAATGCCACAATGGGCGGGGTCTGTCGACCTAGGGACCTTCCATTTTACCTCAACCTTCCACACATTATAATGAAGCATCTGCTTTATGTGCCATGACGCATTCTTTTAAGCTTTTGACATAATCATTCAGGGTTAAATGGAGAGGTCAGCAGGGAGTTGGAAGCTGAAAACATTGTTTTCAGAATTTGACTCTCGCACGGACCAACTGAGCAGACATGCATCATGCATTATGACAGCTACGTTATTAGTTTAAAAAAAATCCTTTAGCATAAGAAAAATAGTGAAATAAGCATTTAGAAAAGAACAGGCTTAAACATAGAATATCAAAAATAAAAAAGTGGTATTTGTTGTTGGGAGATAATGAAAACCCTCTATTCCAAAATACTATTTATCATCATGCAGTCGTTCAGAAGTTTTAATTACATGGCATTATGTGGTGTAAATTTAGCATTATTAGATTTATATGAAACATATTAAATCCTGCTCAAAGCACAAAAAGAAGACAAAGGACAGAGCATAAACAAAAAGAGACACCAAGGCCAGAGTAGAGGGAGTGGGAAACCAAGTATCTTTTAATCAAAACAATACAAAATTAGAAGAAAGCAGCTGAAAACCCAACAGAAAAACACACATGCATGCAGGAGCCTTCAGATTAGCTTTATTTAGAGAAGAAGTGGGAAGTTGAAACAGAAAAAAAGAATACACTCATTTAAAATTAAAATTAAAATTGAGCAGGAAAAGTCATTTAAAAAGTTTCCAAAAATAGACAAAGCAGGAAAAAGCAGAACCAGCCCTCACAATCTGCAAAAAACCATCTGGTTTGAAATAATCAGAGTTTATGTTAAAGCAAAGCAAGATTAGAAAGGCAACTAAATCAGCAGTGCTCTGTTATTTTTGAAAAACGGGCACAAAGCATCGGTAATGCGAATCGGTGGTGTTGGCAGTGGGAAAGCTTTCAGATAAATACTGTATAATTCCAGGAGATAAAAAAAGTGTTTACTGTCGGTCATTTAATTCAAGACAATCGTGAATCAATAACATGGCATTCATACCCTGAGGCACATCAAAACTGTTAAAAACATGCAACTTGTCTCCAATCAACATTCCAAAAATGAGAGAAATTCTATCATTACCACCTCCTAATGAAAGTTAGCTTTTGAAACAGTCACACTCTCTGATCAGAGACCTCTGAGAGCAGACCGTGCTGCCTTGTCAGGGCCCTGTTGTGAGCGTAGTTGTGTGATTGTGTGTCGGTGTGGCGGTTTGTGTTTGTGTGACCGTGCGCAGGGATCCTGCTGCGTGCGGGGGGGTCTCCGTACATCTGCCCTGCCATTGCCCGGATGTTTTCGGTGTAACTGCTGCTCTGACAACGCCCGTGTTTGTGGAAGTCGTCCAGCGTGCGGCTGCGTGTGTGCCTGGCTCTGCGCCTGTGTGTGTCCGCGCAAAAACTGTCAGCCGCAGAGTGACCGTGGTCACTATCGGGCCTGGCGTCCCCCTGCGCGCCGGCAAACGTGTGGCCGCGGGCGTGCCCGTCTCTGGATCCAGACCCAGACCTGATTAAGCTGGCTCCTGTGGGCCCGTTGCCGCTGGTGAGGGCCTGACTGTCTGAGACCAACCCAAACCTGTACTGTGTGTGTGAGGTGTGCGCAGCCCTCTGTGGGCTCCTCCCTCCAGTGTCGATATATTCCCTCTCTGTTGGCGTGAAGCCACCTGTGTGACCAGCGTGTCTGCTGATTTGGTTAAACCCGTACGTGTATCTGGTGTGCGTCTCCCCCGGCCTCTGTGTGTAATGCAGCCTGTGGTTGGGACACAGCGGCTCGGAGGCCCGCCTCCTCAGCGTGGGGAGGAGGGAGGAGGAGCGGCGAGGCAGAGGCGGCTGCAGCTGGAGGCAGGGCTCGCCCGGGCCTACCTGATTGCTGGAGTCGGTTTGAGCGCTGGGTAGAGGCATGGAGGGGCCGTGAGTTCCTGTGTTCGGTGCAGAGCTGGCACTGCCCGCCTAGAAAAAGAAGTCATCACATAAAGAATGCGTCACTGTGACCGTTTCCATCCTTTGAAAAAAAAACAGTAATGTGTTAATTAACATTCGCAAGTCTTATCAAAGAGCTCCTGAATAAAACAGTGAACTGTTTCCACCTTCTTCTCGTCTGAGTGTCAAGTTAAAAACTATTAAATCCCTTTTTAGCCACGCTCATTTCTGTCCAATAAAAAAATGACAGACATTATAGTTTTTGCAGACTTAACAACCAAAACAAATCACCCAGCTTGACTGTCACTCTCACAAAGGAAGCCTTCCCTTCATTACCTTTTTCCAAATGTGTTTTTTGTTCACGGAACAAGCATCTGCAATCCCTCCAGTGAGTGAGTAAAGGACTTTCTGACTAGTGGAACAGGTTTGGTTTGTCATAAAAATAGAAAACATAATTAACTCAACTTGGCTTGTTGAAAAGATAAAGCCTAATTTCCCACTGCCAATTGATACGTAGGACAGCTGTCAAATGTATAAGCAGGAAGGAGAGGAGTTTATTAGACTTTTTCTGGCAGGTCTCAAATGATCATAACATGGCAGAGAAACAATCCTGAAATCCTGGAAAATAGAAGCGTTAATGATTTTGCTGACAAAGGGGCGGCAGTTACTTCAAACAGCTGTGTGCAGGATTTCATGATGCACAAGCAAGTAACAACAGTTTTTATCTCTTCTGCGGCACACAGAGGCATATAAAAATGACTTCTTGATGCAGCTAATCACATCTGGAGAATCTGGACAGCTGTGTTACTCATCAATCCAACAAAGCCACATGTTGGATTCTTCTGAGCAGAAGCACATATAAGCAACAACTTCTATTCTTTAGTGGAACTGCGGAGCACGATGGGGCTGGTTCGTTCCGTTCTTTGAGATGAACAGACATCAGTGCGTGGCTGAGGGGCTGAAGGGATACCTGCTGGAACTTCCTGGGCGGTCGGAGCACGACGAGCTGGATGGTTCCTCTGGCGTTCCCCTCTGATGACATGGACCTTCTCAGCGTCTCCATGGCAGCATGGTTGGAGCGCTCCAGCAGGGACTCACCGTTCACAGCTATCAGCTGGTCATTTACTCTCAAACGGCCATCCTGTTGGAGAAAAAAAATTCTACATCAAAAGGAGAATCGTCTTTATTTTAGCCTAGAAATCCAGCATTTATGCTAATGTCTGAAAAATAACATTTCCGGTGGAAAAGGTGCAAAGTGCTTGTGTTTCATGAATAAAAAGCACAAAAAAAATGTACCACTTACAAAGTTTTAAAAGTAGAGAGGGCAAGGAAGTGAGACACACTAAGATGAGGGAAACTGGTTTTAGTGAGAGAGAGAAGAAAATGAAAAAAGGGAGAAGCCTTGAAAAATGTGGAGTTAGCAATCTACTGAGAGTGGGAGAGCCATGATAAATACATAGAACAGCTAATGGAATAGCCTCTGTGGGCACTAAATCACTTCTAAGTGTTTTAAATAGCAGCCTCTTATACTGAGGCAACACAGAATATTGCCCTGGAGGGATGGAGAAAGAGAAGCAGAGGAGGAGGAGATCTGATGAGGGAAGCCGTGCAAAAAAAGAACTGTCCTGACAGAGAGACTTTCAGACAAACTGAAGTCTGTGTGTGGAGCCATGAGCATCCCATTACGGTCAGCAACGGCCTTTGACCCCAGCTCATTAACAAGGCACCGCCTGGACTGACCTCAGATCCATAGTGAGACGGCACCAAAAGCACACACACCGACACACCAGCATGCTTGTGCCAAATCCGGGGATGTCATCAAAAATTGAAGTCCACGCAAAGATCAGCAGCCATCTGATTCCCCCCCATTAATGCCTTCATTCTCACTACATGTAATTTTAATTTGTTTTCCGAGCGTGCTCTTTGAAACGAACGCATGACAGGATCAGGGAAAAAGTCAAAAAACATTTTCAAATATAATCGAGGCCTCAGGCCAGACAGCCCAAAATCTCTTTAATGGAAATAGGTTAGATCTCTGCACGACTCGTCCTCATCTCCTCCCTTCACTCCCTTCTTTGTAACAGTGTGTGTGTGTGTGTGTGTGCTACAGTCAGACTCAGGGGACATCCCTTAACCCTCCTTTTGTGGCGTTCTTCCGTTGTCAAATCTCATCAGCTGCTTTTCATTAGCATTCACCCACTCTATGGAAAAGACATGTGCCCATAAGCATTGTATTCCTGCTGAGGGGTCCAATTTTTAATTTACTTTTTTTCATCTTATTCCACATCTTTTCTCTCCATCTCTTCGCTGTGAGATAGCGCTCGCTCGTGCCTCCTCTTCCCCTCACTGGCAATCACCCGCTGTTTCCTTTCAATGTGCTTCCCCACTTGCTTGCTACCGTCTGTCTCTCTTCCTTCGTGCCTTTCTTCCTCTTATGTGGTGTCTTGTCCCTGAGACCTGTTTTGCAGCCAGCAAGAGATCATACCAGGCCATTCTGTCTGAGCGCTATCCGCTCCGGCAGCTGTCGGAAACCTACTTCTGAAGGCACTTTTGGGAGCTGCTGTCTGGCCTTCCTGATCCCAGACCAGCCATTTATCTACAACTGCACACTCGTCTCCGTGGCTCCTTGTGGTGCGGAGCAGATCTGGAGGCAGCCGCAAGGGGCAGGAGAAGTTCTGACATGTGGAGGGGGGGCTAGATATCGAGGCCAAGCAGAGGAATCTCCAAAGTGCTGAAATGGGGTGTTTTCTTTTTTCTTGATGCTTGAAGTGAGTACTGAGTGATACAGATAAGAAGGCTGCAGTGCTTACGTGACAAGGCCACTTGGGGTCAATGGGTGTCAAAGATCAAGGGAAGCAAAAAGGGAGGGGTTCCAGTCTTGGAGAAAGACAGGAAATGAGGCAGAGGAGATGGGAGGAAATGACAGGGCAACAAGTAAGATAGATGAGGGGAAAAGTGTAAATAAATTAATTGGAGTATGGCAAAAGAAAAACAGCTCGAATTATGTCAGAAAATAATCAAACGCTGAATGATACGTGTCTAGTTTCTAACAGCTGGAGCGTCCCTTCATTTGATCTGAAGTTGCATTATGATGGTTATTTAAGGTCTTCTCAATAAGACTTGCACATGCAACCTTTGCAGAATAACATTAAATTAATATATTTATTTTGGTAAATAGATTTCTTGGACTAGACTGTTGTTTGTAAGCTGAAGGCCCTCCGGTGTGGCTGCAGATGGATCGTGTGGCAGAGCAAACGTTACATGTGGCCTCTACCTTGTGAGCCGCCCCTCCGTGGATGATGGACTTGATGAAAATCCCCAGGTCCTCTCCCGTCTCCCTGGACTTGTTCCCCTTGAGACTCACACCAAGGCCGGCCGAGCCCGTCTCATTGAGAGGGATCTCATACATCAGCTGCTCCCTGCCGTCCTCCATCACCTGACTACTTGTTTCCTCACCCTTCTGAAAAAAAAGAAAGAATAAAGCCTGTTAATGCATAACCTAATGCTGATTTGACTGTGATTCTGCTGCGCATGATAGCTGATGACTGATGTTAGAGCCCCATATATTACTGATAAGGTGTGTGTCTCCACTGAAGTGATAATACTCGACACCAAAAGCCGGCAAAAAGGAGAGGAGAGTAGGATTAAAGAGTCAGATGGAAGGTGGCTGTGGGGAGAGAAAAAAAAGAAGAGTACTGGAAAGAGAGATGCGGGTTTTGCAAGAAAAAGAAGAAAGCCACTGTAGAGAGGTTATTCCATTTGGAGATGAAAGGCACAGACGGAAAGTGAGTCATTTCTAAAGGAAACATAATAACCTTTTCATCCCTCCTCCAGGAGAGCAGTGGGGGACGAAGGGGGAGGAAAAAAAGAGAGGTGGAGGGGAGGATGTTGGAGTGAAGGAGCATTTAAAAGTAATAACCTGTCCCTAAGGTAAAACCAATTCTTCTCTCATGCATTCACACACCTCCCCAAACACACACACACACACTCCATACATTTAATCCTAAACTCTCAATCTTCCTGTACATCTCCCTGCTCCATCTTTGTCTCTACGTCCTACAGACCTCTCTCACATCTTCCACCCACCCACCACACTCCTCCTCTGATACTTGATGGGAAGAAAATGACCGCGGTGGCAGCAGAAGGAGCAGCGCTCTGAAAATGAGTTGGGGAGGGAGACAGCGGAAGAATAAGTCAACAAAAGGGAAAAGTAAAAATGTAAATCATTAAAAGATGTCAGGGTAAAAAAAATCATAATAAAAAAAAAGATTTGGCAACCAAAAGAAGAAGAGCCCGTAGAGTGGAAGAGCCTTTTTCTCAGGATGAACTGAAGCTTTTGAGTGTATGTTTTTGGGTGTATGTTTCTGTACACATCTCCTCCATTCTGTTCATCTTGCTCTGAAAGAGCCAAAAAACATCCAGACGACATAGTATAAAGATACAGCCACTCAGACTCCACTGATTTATGAAAAGAGAATATGCACATACATTAATATCCCTCATAAGGCTTGTCACAGCTTTAAAGATCTGAGTACCTACACAGCAGGATTGCCAGAGTCTTGCATCAGGCACACTGAATCAGAAATTGGTGTCCCTCTCATCATGGCACATCACTGAAGGATGGGAGTCAAACGGCTTCGTTTTGGAAAACCCACAGCAGCTCGCTCTCCAACTTGCTATGATCCGCCAGCCCCCCGAATTTAGTCTCCCCTCTGTCAGCTCCACTCCGAGCTGCTTTGTCTTAATTAAACAACAGGCTGTTGAAGCCTGCAGGCCGAGAGAAATCCTCAGCACCAAAGCATGAGTCATGGCTCTCACTGAGGGCAATGGAGCAAAAAGAAAGTCCCAAAGGGCTCTGACACTCTGATCCAACAAACTGCTTTTTTTTCTGAGCTTTTGCTTTCATACTAAACAGATGTCTTTTGGTCAAAAATACAGTCCGACACAGTCTATGAAAGAACTTCAGTTTGGAAGAGTACCAACAGAAGGCACTTTTAAAGGCTCCAGTAAGTAAGTGGTAAGATTTGATTCCCGGAATCCATTAAGATGCTCCACCAGCGCATTTTGACAATGAGGAAAAGATAGAAAGTTAGCAAAGACCAAAATACTTCTCTGATCCCGAGGCAAAGCTCTGGTTGTCATGGTTTCAAAATGTGCTGTAAAACGGCTTGATCAGAAGGACAGAAAGAGCTGAAATCTAAGGGGTGTAATAAGTAATCGCTATCCAAAGCTCCCCCGTTTCAGAGACTTTGAGTTAGAGGATTAAAACTATGAGTAAAGTGAGTTTTCTTTCATTCTCAATCTGTTTGGAGATGAGAGCTCCAGTTTTTATGTCACACAGTTTACAAAATGCCGTTTGTTTAAAGCAAATGAACTGAGTTTCAGTGAGCCCCACCACATTCATAAAGATGAGCAAAACTTTTCAAGAGTCAAAGTCACTGAATTAAAAGTCAAACATCAAGTCAACAAGTAAGTGATTGGAAAAAATAATTCCTACGTTGAATGTTAACTTTGAAATACTTTTTAATTTGCTTGTTTTCATCAGCTTTTCGAGGCGCTGTTATTGAAAAATAGAGGCATTACAAAGGCAATCTGCTTCATCCTGCTTGAGAGACACTCCAGAAGGCTTAGATGGCAACCTGGGAGGTTTTAAATACCTCAGTGATCCGGCTGCAATAACAGTCAGGATAAAGGAGGCCTGATCAGTCTGTGGCGTGCTCTCAAAGCTTTAGAAGAAAGCAAGACGTCAAGAGGCTATTAAAATAAGTCACACAAAGTGAACGTTTATTTATTGTAACTCACTGCTGATTTGCATCTATTTACACAACCAATTGAATCTCAGTGGTGGTCCAAACAGAGACAGACACTCTCACACTCAGCTGTACCCCCGCTAATGCCCTCTCCTTTGGGGCAGATTGCATCCTCGGGGTGGCTGGGAGCCCTCGGCTTCACTCTGCGACCCCCCCCCCCC